GGCGCAGCTTAACAATCAGTCACGTTAATGCCTCAAGTACGGCAGTTCAACAAACGAGTCACGCATCAGTTGAGCCGATAAGGGACAAATTGGATGGCCAGTGACACAGCAAGTATGTAACTGTCCATTTGCAACTGGAGCTGATGTCTGTCTGTGTATCCGTCCGTGTTTATCTTATTTGTGTGTGTGTGTGTGTTTGTGTATGTGTAAGAATTGTATTCACCCTATTTCGTTAAAAGGGATGAAGGAGTGGTAGTTGAATTTTCCCACAATTATATGAGTAGACCTTGCGTTTCCATAGAATTTCCTATAGCCTTGCTTCCCAAAATTTATTCTCATCCAGGCTGAAACGGATCGCAGTTTCGACCTCGCCTAGGTCTCATCAGCACCTCTAGCGGGACTCGAACTCGGGTCGTGGTAGTACGGCGTATAGTCCAGATGAGTTAACCACTTACAACAAGTGCCTTGGTTCATGGGAAGGAAATATTCAATATCACTTGCTCTGGTGAGAGTGTCGATAAAACAAAGTTGTATTTGTCATTAAAATCGACTACATCACATTACTACATTTCATATTTCGTTTTATAAGTAGGTTTTCCAGACTAGCAGTGCATCTTATATAAGAGCTGTATTCACCTTATCTAGTTTAATGTGATGAAGAGCTAACGGTTGAATTTTCCCATAATGATATGAGTAGGCCGTGGGTATATGAGCAACCTTGTGTCAATGTGTTCATGTCTGTGTATTTTTGAGTATGTGTGTGTGTACGTGCATTTTCATATAAAGGGAAATAAACAGCTCCAAGATGCGAAACAAGAAAGCATGTTGAAATTCATTTCGAATGTTAAGTTTGCCCTGTGATCCACTGGCAGTCATGGCTGTGTAGTGGAGTGCTAATGTCGCCATGGGACTTACAACCTGGTATTGAATCCCGTTGGAGTACTGAAGAGGCCTAGACTAGGTCGAAATTACAGTCCATCCTGAATGAAACAGCCCTTTAGGAGGCAAAGCCAAGCGAAATGCATTGACCTTATGACTGTGGAAAAACTCAACTATCAATCCTTAAATAACCTTAAATGACTTATAAAGACCAAGTTCTCATAAAAGTGTTCAAACCCACCACCAAGATGAAGTATCACGGAAACCCTTAGTGATATACCAAAGGTTAGACCTTGGTTGCGGTTCATTATGTTCAGCATATAAACTTTGACAACAAATATTTGATTCAAACCAAAAATCAGGATTTCCTTGCAATAATTGGCCAGAAGTTTATTCAATTTCAGGAGTACTTTTACATACTTAGGCCCTAATCTAGTGACACAATCAAACGATTTTCTAGTAACTATGATGGTTTTATCATAGCGAATTTTCAACCCGCAAATCCGTAGACTGGTGTGATGGAAAAGCGGACAACTTTAGGGAAAACAGAAAATAAAATTTCATCGATAAGCAAAGCTTTCTTTCAGAGTGATCATTAATTATGGCGCCGAGCAGCCTCGATATCCCCTCACAGCGTGCGAACCTGATTTACGTCAACTTTACCAGACACTAAAGCAAGAAGTGTTGTGATTGTTGCTTGGTATAATTTGCCTCAACCGAGTACTATTCTGTTATTTCCAATTGGCAATGTAATAGCTACAATGGAAGTCAAGTAGATACGAGATGTTGATTGGTATTGTAAATAAAAGTGAACGGAGAATAGTTGGTTTACTAGTTTTCTTTTGATTTACAAATGTTGAGCTCATTTCCATTACGAGTGAAATAATGCAATGAAGATATTTTAAATTTGAGCCTATTCGAACACGAAGGAGGAAATATCAAGGCGAGCTCCTTCTTTTTCCCCAGAACTGAGAGCAGGATAAACACAAGTACTTCTAGATTGGTATGTGATACGAACTAACAAAACAACATTATACCTCATAAAATTATTTGATTTGGAGTATATACATATGCTTTAGTTGCAAACCAGCTATTTTCCTCGATCCGTTAAGTTGAGTTAGTTGTAGGAAGGGTACCCTGCTTTGATTACGCCTGCCATATTTTCACCGGCATCTAAAGCGATTTTATCTGGGAGGGCTCTAATTAAAAAAAGGAGTAGCTGGTCAGGAGGATTTCGTTATTGCCTTCTGGTGGAAACGACCCTCGATTCTTTTCATCTTACACATCTATTCAAAATGGATGTGAGCTCAAGAGATAGAGGCTGTTCAAAAACCCCGGAAAATCATAAATAGGAGTCTTCAAGGAGGGAAGATGACTTGTGTACATTGACGAACTATTCAAATTTTCCAGGATACGCTAGTTTTACTCTGCACATGGTCTCTGACTTTTTCAAAAGAGAGGGAGTTAAGAAATCTGGCTAAATTCAAAGTTTTGTAATGAATAGATTTCGAGATTATCAATAGTTATTAAATGGGAATCGTAGCCACCCCAGATCTCACTAAGTGATCTCGGACTTATAGTCAAATTTTCCCACGACGAAATTATTAGACCTCTCCGTGTCATTAAAGTTCCCATTGTGCTGACTCCTAAGAGGCTTTCTCATCCATGGTAGACAGAAGATGCAACCTTGATTAGGTCTCAGCATCTTAAAGTTCTACATCTTATGTGATCGAAGATGTTTAAGGTTATTAATTGAGATTGAGAGAAACTTCTTATGTCTTGCTCAGGATGAACATCTAGGATGACCTGGGCATCATTAGCACTGATTAGTGAGATATATTCCAAGATTATCAGTAGTATTGTTGTTGCAGATCTGGGTCAATTTAGAATGGTTTTGGTATTGCACCGATGGCGAAGGATCGAAGAAAATTCTAGATTTTCTGCCTCCAAAAATGGAGCTCTTATCTCGGCTGAATTGCAGGCTCGAGTTCGCCTCATCGTCTCCTCACTGCATCCAGCCAGATTCGAATCCTGGACTGGTATGTTAGAAGGGCAACACATTGTCCTCATAGTCACACGACCAAAGCAATATATGCTTCATCAAAGACGATGGCTTTGAAGGCAGAGCACGACTCTTCCAAGTCATACGTATTTTAATATAGATAGGAAACCATTTGCTTACCATTTGTCTCGATAGAGCAGACATGCTCAACTTTATGTGAATCGACTTTCCATTCTGAAGGGAAAGTTGCTCGAAAGGGATTTGTGAAATGGTCTCATCGAAACTCAAAGTAAGACTGCTTTATAGTGAAGACTGTTAAATTGTGCGAAAAGGTCCTCGGATCAAGGTTCTTCGACTCTGATGAACTTGTGTTAGTCTTTGAGCATCATCAGAATGTGAAAACATACTTGAAGAGATGGCGCAAAATGTACTAAACTAGACACAATTCAACAGTCTTCACTTTAAAGCAGTCCTTCGCTTTCCGGTAAGACAATTTACGAATCCCTTCCAATCAAATTTTCCTGCAAGATGGTTGATCGAGCCACACTAACCCACTAAAGGATTTATCAAAACCTGACCTTTCTTCATACTTATGAATCCCGACTTTGGGCCATTGTAGGGCTGATGGAAAAAGGATGGGATGACTTTACTTAAAGTTGCACTTCTCACCTAAATGGCATCGATATATACAAGAAGAGCCAACATATCGATTCATTTCCAATATTGACATTCCCACAGCCACGAACAGCTCATCATATAAGATGGAATCGTCTCGTCAACTGTTAACTGAGTCCCTGTACAATGATTTAAAAACATACTCAAACCTAATATAAGTAGCATCCTCGATTATTATGACAAGTACATGTTTATGAGCTGTGAAAACCATATTTCGTTTTAAGGAGATTAAGGACTGGTAGTTGAATTTTCTCACAAAGATATGAGTAGACATGACGTTTCCATTGAATTTCACATAGCCCTTAAAGTATTATCATCCAAGGTGGAATGCAATTTCCACCTCGCCTAGGTCTTATCAGCACCCTCAGCGGGACTCAAACCGTGAAAGCTCAGCGTATAAACTCGACATGTTACCCAACACGACGTATTGCCATGAGTGTCCTTGGATCACAAGGCATATGTGAATCTCAAGGAGGGCTAGGCATTTACTCATATACAACAATACCTCATCGGCATTCCCACCACAGAATGTGATATTGGCAAATGGCTGACCTTCCTTAAGATTCGCATCTGCCCTATGATTCAAGGCACTTGTGGAAATGTGGCTTGGCGGGTAACATGTCGGGATTATACGCTGCATTGTCATGGTTAGAGTCCCGCTGTGGATGCTGATGAGTCCTGGGTGAGGTCGAAACTGCCGTCCACCCTAGATGAGAATACCTTTCGGAAAAACAAGGCTATGTGAAATTTAATGGAAACGTCATGCCTACGAATAGCTTTATGGGAAAATTCAACTACCAGTCCTTAATCACCTTAAAACGAAATAGGGTTTACACAAGTCATATATGTGATTTGCTGGAGGCCTCAAAAACCCACTCAACAACGAAATATAAGTTTATGTATGTTCCATCTCCAATGCAGCCATAAATATGATTTGGGAGGCACACTGGAAACCGGACGGTACAATCCGGTTTCAATTCCAGTTGATTGTAAAACTTCAAGTTCGTTCCTCAAATTCCCTTAAGCTACCGTAACTGGTTAAATTGTTATTTAATAATTACTGGGGGTTTCGAAAACTAAATTTAAGTAGAATTAAGACCGACGATTTAATGGAAGGATGAAGGAATAAATTGATCTGAAGGCCTCAAGGAAGGGATGACTCAGTAGGTGGATAAATTTGCGGGCGAACCAACGGATTGTGAATAACTGGATCGCGTAGCAGCTAGACAGGTGAACTTTTATATTTTACTGTACCTATTACCCTGTATAACGTGGGCTTCAGTCCATTGACCACGTGCAGCCTACCACCAAGTACACTAGCCCTGTTTTTTGTCATGTGAATTGCGTTTGTTGTGGTGGTTGCGGCCCTTTCATAGCTCAGTGCCTTCTCTAAACCAACCCCTTATCACCCTGTTTGACTCCCGCACCTTGTGTTTACGTAACTATGCCCGGGCCGTTGCGATGTGGCCTATCTGACACACATTGGCTGCCATGGCATGCAGGCAAGCCGGCAAGCCTACCGGTCGTGGTAGTGAAAGCTGGGCTTGTCTATCACGGCCTCGGACCCATGTTCCGCCTGCACAAAGTTCTCTTACCAACCGAACATGTGAGTCTGCTCTGTTGTTGTACCCCCCTGGCTGAAATAGTGTTTTCGTAACTTGGCCATTTAAGCAGGACAAGGGAGACTGTGAACATTGTGTGAGTGCTGAGGATATTCATAGCCCTATTTCATATATGGTTGCCATGTGACCTCACTTCAATACCGGTAACCACTATGTGGATTATCTCCAGCATAGCCCGCGACGCAAAACGAGACTATTGTACCTGATTCAAGAGCTTTGCTTCTCTATTATGCATGTGGAGGTATCCACGCC